CTGGATTGTCTGGTCCAGACTTGAATATTGAGAGACCGTCGCCATGTAGCTGGAGTATTGCTGAGTGCGGTGTTAAACAACCAACCAACCTTAGGTCCGTTTGAATGTGATCCAGTATCTTGAATGTGCATCCTGTCCAAAGCTATCTCACTGGATGTTTCTAAGGTATCTCGTGTCAGAACCTTGTAAGCTATTACAAAATTCTTACTGTCGTGTGTAAACTTATTGTAATAGCCTACCTGTGATCTTTGTTTTCATTGTTTCATTCCGTACTCAGCATTGTCGATATATTCGAACCCCGTCATGTTCAAAGGAACCAGCAATCGATGGAAGAACCAACTAAACTCATATAGAATTCATACTTTTGTGTATAGGTTTATTTGGGTTAGGTTTTGCTGCACTCAGCAAGTCAAAATACACCCCAAAAATACATATTTTGATCTTAATACACAGTAGATACACTTTTTTTCCGGTCACTATTCGGCATACCAAACAAGAGGAAAATGAGATGCCTCTGTCAGGAACTGTGTGCTAATTGGTTGATGTCCTGGCGTCATTCATTGTATAATCTGGAAGCTAATCGATCAGCCAGAATAATTTCAAACAGAACGTGAGTGAGAGACTGACTTAAAATTTTACAGATTATTTCAACCACCTTGCAACAATACCATGTCCTCGCACAATCACAGGTCTATTCTAATAACAAAGAGTAAATGAATTTCACTAACTTTCTTCATTGTAATAATATTTTACAATCTGGCTTTTTTACATAACACTAAGAGCTACGTGGAAAAGTTGAAAAATGCAACAGACATGATTCAATGTTTGTTATATTAATGTTGAATCACAGTGAACTTTATATCGTTTCAAGGAAGAAATAAACTGATCTGTATCATACGTCACATCGGCATTATTTCAGTGACGAAAACAAGTCTGCATTAATAAACATTGTAAGTACAGAGTCAAAATGAGTTTTATTTCAAAAACACATATTCATTACATTGTCATTTAAAGACAGAAAAAGGCATAGCACTAAATTTAAAAGCAGGCAATTTGATAGTTACATTACATTTACATTTTATGATACAGATCAACTTCCCTCAGGTAGTGCACTATCAGATGAGCGCTAACGCGGGAGAACAGATCTGCAGGCAATTTGTTAGTCACACAGTCAAGCAGAATATGCTTGATGTTGAAAGCCTCATCGCAAGAGATACACATTGGGGTCCATCCCCATCCGTTTTCAGCAGATAGTTATGTGTAAACCGACTGTGGCCAATACGACATGGTCGTAAAATTACCTCATCATGTCTTGACTTACAACCCAAGTAGGTATAACTAATTGTTGGCTTCAGTTCATACAGTCTATTTCTTCCTACTTTGGTGTCCCACCTCTTTTGCATGAGGTCCCGAGTATAGCTTTTGATAGTGGGTTTGAAATCACTGTACGGGATCAGCAGTGGAGATACGGGCTTGTCAAGAGCTGCTTTAGCTGCAGCATCGGCTTTTGTGTTACCTGCTATGCCGGCAACCAGCAGAGGACGATGTCATATTGGCCAGTAGAAAGGTCGTTGTAAAGTTTTAATATGTCCAGGATGATTGGGTGACTTGAAGTAACATTTTGAAGTGCTTGAAGGCAAGATAATGAGTGTGTAAAAACGATGAAGTTTTGGGAATGATTCTGTTGTTTAATGTAGGTCAAAGCTGAGAAGATAGCTCTGGCCTCGGCAGTAAAACTTGAACTGTTGTCGGGAATTCTAGAGCAGACAGTCTTGGATTCAATGACTGTAGCACTGGCAACTTGGCCATCATCCTTGGACCTCTCTGCGAAAATGGATATATGGGTGTCATACTTGGAACGTAACTGGTTGTATTCCTGTTGGAACACCAAAGGATTTGTTTCGGACATTATATACGAATTCCGCTTTTTTAGTTTAGTGAGGGTAAGGTCGACCTGTGGTTTCACCATCTGTCAGGGTGGCGAAGACAGGAGTCGGTAAGGTGCTATGATATTGAGATTAATTTGAGCTGCAGATATGTGTGGTTGAATTCTGATTCCAAGTTGTCGAACCAGGTTTGGCAGGATCCAGACCTGTCTTTAGATAGTACTCCCATGTGGTGGCTTGAAATTCTGATTCCAAGTTGAATCATTCCACGCACTTGGCAAGGTAGTAGTAGTAAAGAGGCCAAATTCCTGGGACTCATATTCGACCGTCACCTGACATTCTTACCACACATAAAACATTTAGAAAACCAAGTGCTTGAAGGCTCTGGACTTACTAAAGGTCGTTTCACATTCACTCTAAACTAGACTACGGCTCCATTGTCTATGGTGGAGCCTGCAAAAGCAATTTAGAAAAATTAGATTCTATCCACCACCAAGGCCTAAGACTCTGCCTGGGAGCTTTTAGGACCTCTCCGGTAGACAGTCTATATGCAGAGGCTAACGAACCTTCCCTTGAACAACGCTGCATTAAACTTTCACTGCAGTATATCACTAAATTACGTTTAAATCAGTCCAATCAAGCATACAATTGTGTTTTCAACCCTCTCTATAAAAACCTGTTTACTAATATGGCAAGCCTGGTTCCACCTCTTATCTGTAGCTAACACTGATCTCAGTATCATACCACCTTGCCAGCTTCTGGCAGATGGTGAATCCACAGGTGCATCTTACTCTCACCAAACTCAGAAAGTCCGATACAAATCCTTTGATGTTCGTACAAGAATAGAAACCAGTTACGTTCCAAGTATAACACCCATAGATCCATTTGTACAGACGATCCAAGGACGATGACCAAGTTGCCAGTGCCACAGTAATGTCCTCCAGAATCCTAAGCAATAGCTTCATTTTCACTGCTAAGGCCAACGCTCTCTTGCCTACGGGCACCTAAAAATGTTACTTCAAGTCACCCTGTCATCCTGGACATTTTAGAACTTTACAACGATATTTCTACTGGCCGATGTGACATCGTCCTCTGCTGGTTGCCGGGTCATGTCGCCATAGCAGGTAACCCAGCTAAAGCTAAAACTGCTCTTGACAAGCCATCGTCCAATATAAATTAGCACATATTTTTAAAATGTGTATCGTCTCGTCACTATATGCCTGGAATAATGCCGACGTGACGTTAAACCGAACTTAACTCCTCAACTTATCAAGTAAAAATTTTGTAAAGCATATTTCTTGCACAGGGCAACTATTGTCATATTCAGTTGGCTGTGGCATGTCTCCAACTGAACTGCAGGCAGAATATATTTGTTTCGTTTCCAAATACTTCTGGTTGGTGAACCTGACATTCACATGTCCCCCAAAAACCAAGACAAAAAATAGAACAGAACTAGGACCCAAAAAACGCTCCCCTACTTCACCCCTACTTCACCCTACTTCACCCTTGAAGAGCAACCTCTTCAAGGTGGTGGGTGCTGGGTAACGCTAATGGCTCTTCACACCCCGCGTGGACCCGGGGTCGAATAGGTCCACAGCACCCCGTTGCAGCACCCCATTGTATCCCTGTGTCGGCAGAGGAAGGCAATCTGGTGGTTGAGGATGACGGAACCGGCCATAGCTTTCTTTAATCCAACAAACCACTTCGACCCTAACTTTGCCTAGACGGGTGGTAGAATAGGCCCGATTCTACCAATCGGCTGGTCACGCCATGCCCTGTGCATGAAATATACTATACAAAAGGTTGATATTGTAAAATGCCCTTCGGCATGTTCAAAATGTAAATTTCTGTCAAAATGCAAATCGGTTTAAATCCCTATGCACTGAAGGCGGTGGCTCATGGGCCAATCTGGTGATGCTGACCTCCCGATTCCTGTACGTCTCCAATTGATTGTCACGGGCCGAACCATCCTGACCTTTGATCTGGTAGACAGCTACAGCTTTTCGTGTCAACCTTGCTAGAGTATAACACCCTCTTGTCTCCGGTCTTTGCAGCTTGGACATCCGCTGCAATATAAGATCGTCCCTGTTGACACTCCATGGCTGGTGGGGAAAGGGGTTGCAGAAACATAATCCTAACGACATGGCTTCCCAACACCCTAGTTCAAAACAAAGACACATGGATTCCGACAACTCCTCGTCTGACAAGAGTACGCCCTTCCGACCTGACTACTGGCCACGCTCATACCCATCACTCATACCCATTTCTGTTTTCCTCGATGTTGGATTGGACTATATAATGCCAATGAAACTTTGATCCAACCATATCAAAAGTGCCTTACTTCATAGCCACCAACAGTACTTTAATCTAATTCTACTAAATGTCCTACCCATCGAGGTACTACAGGACTGATCTGGAATCTTTCAACGTTGGTTTCTGTTGTTTGGAATATCTGGTCCAGCTCCGTGCAGATCGCCATTGCGAGAAATAGTAAATTTTAGTTCTATATAATCTTATTTTCGTTTTCGCATTTCTACGGATATATTAGGCAAGTAGCAGATACCATTAAACACTTGGTTATTCCTCAGCTCAATGCAATTGTATGTAAATCCGTGTCCGTCTCTGTAAATCCGTCTCAACGTTGCTTAGGAATCCCGTCACGTGATTGACACAATCATGGCTGAGAGGCGTCGGTATTCTAGATAATATGCCAATAATGATACAGTTACCAGTACAGGTAAGGTATTAAATTTAACCAATACGCAAAATTCAACACAAAAGTAATTGAAATCATGTTAATGAAAATCACCAATTTGTCCCATGCTTATAATTTTAATTTTGAATCAGGCTGCTGAAAACAAAAATCAAAATGCACTGTCTCAAAAAAATATAAATATTAGAAGGTGTTTACATTTGGACTTATGATTTGAAACAATATCACGTGTTTTATATGTTTTGGCTATAAAATTGGCTAAGCGACACACATGATCACAGATAGTTTTGAAATCAGGTCCTAAATAGACACAAGGTGTCCGAAATAGTCCAAAGTTCTTTTCAGCGATTTCACTGGGTCTGTCTGAAGGTTATCTATGGCACTATGGCACCGCTCAGATCGCAAGTACAACATATGTTGCTTTCACAGATCAACAGAGATATAAACTGCGTGCTAACTCACAGAGAATCTAAGGTCGGTTTCAGTCATGTAAGTAGACGATTTGTATGTGATATTAAGCTTCTGGTTGCAACAATCGTGACACTGACTTTGATATTGGACATTTAAATATATGGTTCTCTAATTTCAAATATATTTTATCTTTCTGTTGTAGTATGTACTGACCATGATTCCTGATGTAAACTAAATATGTGTGCATTAATTCCTTTGTCATGAAGGATAGGGTTCACGTGTTAAGTACGGTCTTTAGAAACCTGCATTCATTCTTTTTGCGGACATTAACTCTACGGTGAGAGTGTGAGTTTAGGTGTACGCCGCACTCAGCAATATTCCAGTTATATGACAGCAGTCTGTAAATATGCCTGTACCAGACAATCCAGTGATCAACAGCATGGGTATCGATCCACGCCACTGGGATAGGATGACGCGTGTCAACCAAGTCAGCGATCCTGACCTCCCGATCCCGTTACCATGGGTTACTGAAGATCAACTCTTACCCGGATCGTCAGGGGGTAACTTTACAGACTTGACTGAAACCGCACCACCGTGGGGACACAGGGATGCATTGACATAAATCCATGCTGATCACCGGAAGGAATCGGTTGGTGACTCCAGGGTCAACCTACCTGACGTCATGCACTATTTCCCATAATATGAATCACACGATTGTTTGGTCCAGACTGAACTATTAACAGGCCTCCTCCAAACACATGGAATATTACCGAAAGCTGCGTAACAAAATACAGACCTGATGGTCGGTTCACTGAGTGACTATTTTTTTAGCAATATTCCAGCAATATCAAATTGGGGACACTGGAATTAGCCTCACACATTGTACCCACGTGGGAAATCGAACCCGGGTCTTCGAGCAACTGCTTTAACCACAGGGCTACCATACCATGTCAGTCAGTTCAGTGTTTTCAGGTGAATTTGTCAGAAAAAAAATTAGTGTGATCTCTGAGGGCTTCTTGAAATCGTATTTTATAATCGTTTGTTTCCCAGTGATTGAGTTTGTATTTTACAGCCTATTCACGATGAAGGGTGCAGCTGTCTTCGCGTTGTTGATGCTTGTGTCCTCTATCCATGGAAACGCCTTTACGGACTTCTTCAAGAATGTTGGTAACAAGCTCGGCTCGTTCTTCACCACTGTCGGCCATTCCCTGCTACACCAGTTGGACACAACCGGAGTGGATCTGCTCAACGCAGGCGTATCAGCGGGCAAACAGTTGTAATCACAGGGCCTTCAGGGTGAGACTGTATGACAAAATAATTACTTCACATGAGCACAAACACTCCGTGACAGAACAGATGCTCCTCACAGTACAATCAGTGAACAAATAACCACACGACAGAACAAACACTTCACGATAGAACAAACGCTCCACACCATACAATCACTCCACAACTGAACAAACCGCTCCAGACCGTACAATCACTCCACAACTGAACAAACGGTCCACACCGTACAATCACTCCACAACTGAACAAACGCTCCACACCGTACAATCACTCCATAACTGAACAAACGCTCCACACCGTACAATCACTCCACAACTGAACAAACGCTCCACACCGTACAATCACTCCACAACTGAACAAACGCTCCACACCGTACAATCACTCCATAACTGAACAAACGCTCCACACGGAACAATCACTCCACAAATGAACAATGACCACAGGACAATCACTTCAGGACAAAAACTGTGCCTCAGCAACGAAATAATATTGAAATAATTTGCATATTGAGACACAAGCTACAAAAAATAGAAGTACTCCATTATACAGCAGTTGGGAACAACCAGTGGATATCCTGTGGGCAGACAATTGTTGGGGACACAATATTTCGCTCAGTTACTGAAAAACACTTTCCTTATTTCAAATAGAATTACCCGTTAATTTCCGGGTTAGAATTGGTCTTCAGTAACCTATGCTTTTCGTAAGGGGCGATAAACAGAATCGGGTGGTCAGGCTGGTTGACACATGTTATCGCATCCCAATTACGTAGATAGATGGACGTGTAGTTGATCACTGACCTGTCACATGACCGCCGCCATAGTGCGGCAGTAAACAGTGAGTGAGTGAGTGAGTGAGTTAAAATTTAAAGACACTTTGGCAATATTTCAGCCATATCGTGACTAGAACAGTTAATACTTTAGAATTTTATTTTATAAATATCAGTCACCAAAGGACAGTAAATTAACTAGTATATCACAGTAAGAGACTTAAAACTAGCAACTTAAAATTAGATACTACGTAGGACATTACAACATAAAAATGGGCTATAGATCGCCAGCCACCGAAGGTAGGTCACCATACCAGGGACCATGGGGACTTACAGTACCTTTGGGCAGTAAACTGCAAACAATCAAACATAAGCCACACACGATCATCACCACATCGGCTCGAAACACGGAATGTTTACACAGATCTTCAACTCTCCGACTACTTACATCTACTTACGTACAGGTCGTAAGTCTCTTTGGAAAGCACAGTATACTTGGCGTGGCGTTTTACGATTAATGCTACCGTTACCTTTCGATCTTTTCAGCTTTAGCTCTGAACACTGTAAACGCACTCCAGGATAGAAATAACACTAAGCGAGACTTAAGGTAAGTATACAGCAGCGCATGATACATGTCTGTGTAATGTATAAAGAGTGAGTGAGTGAGTTATTATTTAACGTCACATCGGCAATATTTCAGCCATATCGTGACGAGAAATGTATAAAGACGATCTGAACGTGCATTGTTGATATTTTATTGTTAAGTCGACCTCATCAGACACATTGTAACCACCATGTGCTGTTTGGTAGTGGGGTAGTAAGCAAGTTGAGTTAAACGCTACTTTGAGACCCGTGAAGAACAACTGATCTTCCAGGGACAACTGACAGGATCGGGTGGTCAGGCTTGCTTGATGTCTTTGCATCAAAACTGCGTAGATCGATGCTCATGGTATTGGTCACTTGATTGTCTGGTCTTATCGGCCACGACGTAGCATACACATGTTGGTTCACATGACCTGAGAGACCTGGTCATAGCGGCGCTGGCTCCTTTATCTTACACGATAGTTTCTTTGTAAACGTCCCAACAATGTAATCTTGGCACAGTTATGGTAAACCTGGTGAATGTAATCATACAAGGATATACATAATATATATACATACACGTTATCTAACATACCGTAACAAATGCTATCATACAAAAGATTAATCATCTGCTGTATAATTTATAACATCCAACCTACCCTGGCCACACAGAATGGACTGGTCTGTCATGTGAACTATAGTATAAATACAACAGGCGACGACTGAACTGGTTCAAGCTGACTGGGCGAGAAGGTAACATGTCTGCCACCGTCACTTACGGGTTTACTGTTATCGTTAACAAAGCCAGACGACAGTATTGACACGCCCATGCTAGCACAACTTATGAGCTTACTTGAACAAACCGTAGCAAGTCTCAGGAGCACAACATATCAGCTTGCTTGAACAAACCATAGCAAGTCTCAGGAGCACAACATATCAGCTTACTTGAACAAACCGTAGCAAGTCTCAGGAGCACAACATATCAGCTTACTTGAACAAACCGCAGCAAGTCTCAGGAGCACAACATATCAGCTTACTTGAACAAACCGTAGCAAGTCTCAGGAGCACAACATATGAGCTTACTTGAACAAACCGTAGCAATTCTCAGGAGCACAACATCAGACCTGAAATCAGAGTTAGATGCAACCAAGAGGAACCTCAAGGCGACTCAATCCGAGCTGCAAGTCACAAAAAGTGATCTACAGACCAATCACACAGAGCTTCAGTTGAGCAAAGCGGCACACAATAACAGTATGTATGGTCTGCTAGTGTTGAGTGAGTGAGTGAGTTTAGTTTTACGCCGCACTCAGCAATATTCCAGCTGTATGGCGGCGGTCTGTAAATATTCGGGTCTGGACTAGACAATCCAGTGATCAACAGCATGAGCATGGATCTGCGCATTTGGGCACCGATTACATATGTCAACCAAGCCAGCGAGCCTGACCACCCGATCCCGTTAGTCGCCTCTTACGATAAGCATGGGTTACTGAAGGTTCATTCTAACCCGGACCTTCACGGGTCGCTAGTGCTGAACTTTGAAATATGATTGGCTGGTTGGTTTGTTGTTTAACGCCACACTCGGCAATATTTCAGCTATATGGTGAACATCCGCGTTACAATTGGTCTTCAGCAAAACATGCATGACGTAAAAGGCGACTAAGGGGTTTGGGCTCGCTGTCTTGGTTGAGTCATGCCATCCCAATTGCGAAGATCGGTGCTCGTGATGTTGATCACAGAATTGTCTGGCCCTTACTCGATTATTTACAGACCGCCGCCATATAGCTGGAATCTTGCTGAGTGCGGCGTTAAAGACAAACAGCCAAAATATACCCAGTCTCAGACACCAAGAGGCGTGACAGTCTATTTCAGCGTATAATGTTTGGAACTTTGTTTTTAGTATGGATCCTATGTTTTCCTTCAAACAGCACCGGTGGAAAGAAACATTGCATTCCACGTATCAGCGCCGAACAGTGCCACGGCGGGAGTTCCACTTGAGTATCAGTCCATTCTCTACAATGCTGGGTCTGCTTAGAACATCACTTCAGGGAAGTTCACAGCTACATGTTCTGGACACAGCTGGACATGGACCAGCAGCGCCCGTGGGTGTATGTTAAAATCATGCAGTCTACACAAAAGACCGCCGTTTCCGTTGGCTTTGTTCAGACCGGCATGAACGTGTATGAGTCTGACGCTACAGCTATTGTAATCAACCACGTGGAAAAGGGCGAGCAAGTGGGGTCGAACCAAATGCGTCTGAAACATTGACAGTAACGCTGGGTCATATTTTGGTTGTGTTCTGTTGTCCGTGAATTCATATTGACCTAATAAATCATTGGCTGAGAATCCGCGAGAGGACTGACTTTAAGATTTTCTCTTTAGTCCACCAGTTTATTAGCAAAACTACCTCTGCCTATCTTTAAGAGATGTTTGTCAATTACAGTCTCTCAAGAAATGATACCACTAATGACACCAGGGAAGACTCACCTCTCTCTGTGTGTTGTTCTTACGGATCAATATATCGATATATTCTGCATTTTGTCAGCTGAATAAAGTTATGTCAAATATCGAAAGAACCACTATGGGATCTGTAAGAAACTTTATAATGTTTCGTGATTTATGCGTGAATGCCAAAAAAAGCACAAGATTCAGTTTGCTGGGACGGATGGTCTCATGATGGAGACGAAATCCCAGGATTGTCTGACCGTTTTGTTGTGATGATATATATTCACAAGAATCTCGTCAAATGTTTGCAGCCCTGTAAATCCTGGTTAAAAGTGGTCTTCCAGTGGAGATGCTTCCTTAGAGAGTTGATTAAATGGATATGTAGCCCACTCGCTGAAGTGACTGATGCATTTCCGGGTTCCATAACAAATCTAATCCACCATGTTTCACCTTCTTATGCGACCTTTACAAGGCACAAATGTCTCTTGTTCTGCCTATAGGAATGTAAATACAGCTATCTCTTTCTGCTGAAAAGAAATCTTAAAACAATTGTCCTAACTTTTGTCTGTTCATCAAATTGTAGTAGGTAAAACCAAAGGTGAACCTGACATTTAAAGAAATTAAACACAAATCAACAACTTGATGAGTAATAGAACACATATTACACTCACAAATCAATATTTACAAATGGATGCAAGGATAGTGACAGTTGCCTGCACCACTGTCACCAGATATAGAACTATCACATCCAATTGACCTGATAATTGTTCGATTTTAAAGGCTCCAAAATTATATCAGCAATTGCTCAAAATGTAAAAAGCTCTTTATATTTTCAGACACTTTTTTTCGTGCATTAGAGCTATAAAAATATCTCATATACTTTTACTTGACATAGTTGAATAACATTAACGCCTTGTTTCTGGACAATACCACCTCGTGTTTTGTTGGTTAGCCGGCCGTCCTGGAATTACTGATAATACAATGGTCGACTCTGGCAGCCCCACTTATGATACCACACACAGATGCAATACGGGTATTAGATTTTAACAGAGATCTGATGTGAAAGAAATGGGGATACAATGAGGCATCAAACAGTTACACGAAACTGAACCAATGTAACCATGTTGCATCTAGAAGTATAGTCTGTCAACCCAGCTTTGGTCAAAACTCTTCCAAATAACACCAACTGACCACATGCCATTAACGTATATCTTAATGATCCCCATTGACATATGAATAAAAGGGGTGTCCCAACAGTTGTGTTGACAGACCATAGTCCACAATGTCCTATTGGCAAAGGATGATACACTCAAGATTATTCACTGAAAAGTGAGGATCCTGACTTTTCTTATCCCCTGCCGTGATAAAATCTCCAACAAACTTTCTGTCACAAGGTGAATGAGTGAGTTAAGATATACTGTCACAATGGAAACAGTTCAGTCATATCATGACTAAACGAAGTTATACATTTATGACAAATACATTTAAATCATAAACACCTGTCCTCGAAGGATAGTAATAACAATTTCCTTTACAATCCTAACAATTAAATGAGAATTAATATCAGCAAAAAGACCTGAGATGATGATTTGAAATATTGACCCCTTAAGATGGAAAAATCAATGAAGTCAAGCAGAATACGCTTGACGGCGATTCTTTCATCAAAAGGGGTACAAAATGATGGATTCTCACCACAAAGTATATTTCCATGTGCATATATTAAATGACCAATACGAGACCATCGCATAATGACCTGTTCAAATAGTACAGCTCAAGGACGTACAGCCCTAGTAGGTGTTACCAGCAGTTGGTTGAATTTCATGGAGTTGATTTATGCCTACTTGGATGTCCTACTTCTTTTGCATTATAACCTCGATGTAACATCTGAGGTCAGGTTAACAATCACTGCCCGGGAGTTGAAGTGGTGTCACGGAATAATTGAGTGCTGATTTAGCTGCAGCATTAGCCTCTGTGTTACCAGTAATTGCAACATGGCTGTGTAACCAACAAAATAACCATGTCGTATTTGCCAGTAGCAAGAGAATTATGTACTTCAACAATGTCAAGTTATATTGGATGTGAACATGACATATTGTAGTAGTGTAACGGGGGCTAATTATAATAGGTGCTATATATATGAGAAAGGGGTAGGCTAGCGTAGCAACTTAGTTGGGGGTATAAATGATAAATTCTGGTAATATGAAATGGATTTTTCTTACCGGCGTTCCGCGGAAACATGCGGGTACGGCCACAGGGGCGTGTCACACTTAGAAACAGCGTTAGAAAGACATATAGGTATATAGACCCTATCCTAGTACTATATAAAAGGAAAGAGATGTAACGACGGAACCACCCCCTACTCAATCAAAGTTAGATTTCACCACGTAAGCTATTTTTAAGGCCTCGTCGAGGCCTACGGATCGAAAGCGACATAATTTCCCTACAAAATGAGCTATAAATGGTCACAATCGGATCATTATTTCAAAAAGTTATACGCCACGACTCCCCGAAAACAGCTCCCTCCACAATTCCAAGCCAAAATCATGGATCACCCAAGACAGTGAAAACTCACCTTTTAAATTCGTTTATTAATTTCAGCCACGTTGACAGCACCTATGTAGGGCTAGATTCGATCGGCAGCGGCATTCCACGGGTCTTAAAACTTATTGCAACATCTACAAATCATATCCTCGACAGTAAGCAGGCATTTTCTCCCCAACCATCGGCAATCATACTCACTTGTCGGCCATAGATGGCCTTGACATTCAAGTGATCTGAGCAGTAAATTGGTAAAAATTATTTTAAAGGTTAAATATAGGCCATCTATGGCCGACAAGTGAGTATGATTGCCGATGGTTTTGGAGAAAATGCCTGCTTATTGTCGAGGATAAATTATTTGATTTGTTTCTGATTTCTTTTAGTTGCGTTAATGCCAGGTTTACCTCTGGCCATATATACTGCCATGGAGGAGAAGCCAAAAGATGGGTTGGGGTTATATTTTCAAGATCTAATTTTGCAGTAGAAAGATATGCCTGTATTCTCGATAACGATAACGATCTCGATAACGAGGAGGACATATAGTTAAATGCCAGATTAGACTTGTTTGGAGATATCTGAGTCACTGCAAGGATAATTTGAGGCGGGGCTGTATGAGTGAGGGACCATCAGCCGCCACGTACATTACTTGAAATTGGAGAGGTTTTGATGGTGACTAGTATCTAATAATTTCAAATTACTCTTACAGGCTCGAGCAAAAATGGTGGAGGTAAAATTCGGTTTTGAGCGTATACTGATCGGTACAGAGAGAGAAGTTGTTTTTTATCCCCTCCCCATTTCGAATTACAGACTTCAAGGGCCCTCAGGCATCTGTGTTTTAAATATTAGGTCGCAAGGCCAAATACTCATAACAAAACTAAACACCTAAGGATTTTGCTTCTAATAGGTGTGTTTTCTACCAAAACTAATACACTGAATTTCTGGACCAAACAAATTGAAAAACCTGTGTATCAGCGCCCAAAGTACAGTCCGAAATTTAACTTTGGGGTGGCATATTTATGTTAGGGGCACAGCCCCTCTGTGTATTTGAAGGGAATATGAACAGTGAGTGGTACACAGATATTCTCGAAGGACATTTACTTCCATCTGCTCACGTGTTCTATGGACATGTTTGGATTTTCCAGCAGGACAACGACCCAAAACATCGTTCAAAGCATTTACAGGCCTGGTTTCGGACACAAAATATAACATTATTAGATTGGCCAAGCTATAGCCCAGACCTAAATCCAATAGAAAATGTTTGGGGACTTATGAAGGAAAGTGTCAATAAGAAAAATCGACAAATATTGCTGAAATGAAAGAAGAGGTGGTCCGATATTGGGACAGCATGGACCACGACTTTCTAACTTGTTTGATCAGTAGTATGCTCTGCCGCATTGAAGCCAGCATTGCTGCCCATGGTGACTTGACAAAATACGAACTGTTCACCTGTCTTTGAATCTGGAGTTATGTTTTGCTAATAGTCACATTTAATACGTGAGTAATGAGCGAAAATGTTTTTTTTACAATTTTTAAATTCTCAAAAAGTTCTGGTTGTATTAACACTTCAGCATGTACCGTGGCCGTTACACTATTTGCACTAGACACGGCAGTCCTCTATGTACCTCAAAACTATTCAATCTCTCTTAAAAATCTAATAATTAAATGAGGGCTGATATCGTTAAAAAAATCCTTTATTGCCGCAGGTTTGAATTATTCACCCCTTGTGAAGGACAATCAATAGTTATTGCTTGACTGTGGTTCTGTTATCACAAGGAATACACAGCGGAGGAGTGGCCAATGCGGACTGGCCAATGCGACATGATGAACACAAATCAATCTGGACTGACAATCCAAAATGAGGTGATCAACATCAATCAAAAATTGTGAAATAATGCAACCAAGTCAGCAAGCCTGACCATCCGACCCCCTTAGTCGCCACTTACGACAAGTTTGGGTTGCTATATTCTTGGGCGGGTCATACCGGGTATTCATCAATATCGGATCAAACTCAACTTCTCTTCTTAATTCTCTTCTTTAGATTTTGCCGAAAAAGTAGAATTATATTCATAAAAGATCAGATCAAAAGGAAATAGAACATTTGGACGGCTGAACGCGTCCCCCAAACTGTTACGAAGATGTCCAGCGTTCCTGGTGTTCCAACGTCCCAACCCCAAACTGTTATGAAGATGTCCAGTGTTCCTGGTGCCCCCACGTCCCACTCCCAAACTGTTTCGAAGATATCCAGTGTTCCTTCTGTCCCCACGTCCCAAACCGAAAATGTTATGAAGAGGTCCAGTGTTCCTGGTGCCCCACGTCCTACTCCCAAACTGTTACGAAGATATCCAGTGTTCCTTGTGCCCCCACGTCCCAACCCCAAACTGTTATGAAGATGTCCAGTGTTCCTGGTGCCCCCACGTCCCAACCCCAAACTGTTACGAAGATATCCAGCGTTCCTTGTGCCCCCACGTCCCAACCCAAACCCAAACTTTTACGAAGGTGTTCTGTATTCCTGGTGCCACCGCGTCCCAACCCAAAACTGTTACGAAGATGTCCAGTGTTCCTGGTGCCCCCACGTCCCCACCCCAAACTGTTTACCAGATGTCTAACAATTCTGGTGCCCCCACGTCCCAACCCCAAACTGTTACGTAGATGTCCAGTGTTCCTGGTGCCCCCACGTCCCAACCCCAAACTGTTACGAAGATGTCCAGTGTTCCTGGTGCCCCCACGTCCCAACCCCAAACTGTTACGAAGATGTCCAGCATTCCTGGTGCCCCCACGTCCCAACCCCAAACTGTTACGTGAAGATGTCCAGTGTTCCTGGTGCCCCACGTCCCAACCCCCAAACTGTTACGAAGATGTCCAGCATTCCTGGTGCCCCCACGTCCCAACCCCAAACTGTTACCCAGATGTCTAGCATTTCTGGTGCCCCCACGTCCCAACCCCAAACTGTTACGAAGATGTCCAGTGTTCCTGGTGCCCCCACGTCCCAACCCCAAACTGTTACGAAGATGTCCAGCATTCTGGTGTGCCCCCACGTCCCAACCCCCAAACTGTTACGAAGATGTCCAGCATTCCTGGTGCCCCCACGTCCCAACCCCAAACTGTTACGAAGATGTCCAGCATTCCTGGTCCCCCACGTCCCAAACCCCAAACTGTTATGAAGATGTCCAGCATTCCTGGTGCCCCACGTCCCTACCCCAAACTGTTACATTCCTGAAGATGTCCAGTGTTCCTGGTGCCCCCACGTCCCAACCCCAAACTGTTACGAAGATGTCCAGCGTTCCTGGTGCCCCCACGTCCCAACCCCAAACTGTTACGAAGATGTCCAGCGTTCCTTGTGCCCCCACGTCCCAACCCAAACCCAAACTTTTACGAAGGTGTTCTGTATTCCTGGTGCCACCGCGTCCCAACCCAAAACTGTTACGAAGATGTCCAGTGTTCCTGGTGCCCCCACGTCCCAACCCCAAACTGTTACCTAGATGTCTAGATGTCAGCATTCCTGGTAGATGTCCCCACGTCCCAACCCCAAACTGTTACGTAGATGTCCAGTATTCCTGGTGCCCCCACGTCCCAACCCCAAACTGTTACGAAGATGTCCAGTATTCCTGGTGCCCCCACGTCCCAACCCCAAACTGTTACGAAGATGTCCAGTGTTCCTGGTGCCCCCACGTCCCAACCCCAAACTGTTACGAAGATGTCCAGTGTTCCTGGTGCCCCCACGTCCCAACCCCAAACTGTTACGAAGATGTCCAGTGTTCCTGGTGCCCCCACGTCCTACCCCAAACTGTTACGAAGATGTCCAGTGTTCCTGGTGCCCTCACGTCCCACCCCCAAACTGTAAGGAAGATGTCCAGTGTTCCTTGTGCCCCCACGTCCCAACCCCAAACTGTTACGAAGATGTCCAGTATTCCTGGTGCCCCCACGTCCCAACCCCAAACTGTTACGAAGATGTCCAGTGTTCCTGGTGCCCCACGTCCCAACCCCAAACTGTTACGAAGATGTCCAGCATTCCTGGTCCCAACCCCCCCACGTCCCAACCCCAAACTGTTACGAAGATGTCCAGCATTCCTGGTGCCCCCACGTCCCAAACCCCAAACTGTTACGAAGATGTCCAGCATTCCTGGTGCCCCCACGTCCCAACCCCAAACTGTTACGAAGATGTCCAGTATTCCTGGTGCCCCCACGTCCCAACCCCAAACTGTTACGAAGATGTCCAGTGTTCCTGGTGCCCCCACGTCCCAACCCCAAACTGTTACGAAGATGTCCAGTGTTCCTGGTGCCCCCACGTCCCAACCCCAAACTGTTACGAAGATGTCCAGCGTTCCTTGTGCCCCCACGTCCCCTACCCCAAGATTCATTTCGGATGTGATTTTGTGATAATACACTATCGCTTGCCCGTCCACTATTAAAAGATCGTCAGCCCTCTCTTCTCTTTCATCCAAGCAGTCCGGTGACTGGTCATCAGTACCTTCAGTATCTGGACACCATCTGACATCGTCTTTGAACACATCGTCATCTCTGAAGGTAAAGTAGTAACAGGAATAGAAACATTGTTGCTGTTTTCTGCTACTTTGAGACCTGGCACAAATAAAATGCCATAAAGCGATTAACATTTAGTAATGTAGTGGGCCACGCTTTATGTAGTAAATATATCTCCCTTATTTATCCACAGCGGTATTTCAAATTGGTACTTTGGTACTCTATTATAAAGTGTCTGAACTTTAAAGGAATGTTGATAAATGCTTGTTTTACATTGTCTACTTTGCTTATCAAACTTGCAAAAAAACTATGGATGAATGAATAATTTGTGCCCTATGCTGCATCGGCAATATTGCAACTATTCGCGGCGAGAATTAGTCAATAAACTCAAATATGTGCGTATATAGAATAATAAAAGGTCCTGAAATAGTGCCACGCATCATTTAGATTGGAGAAAAATTCACAATTGGTTAAAATCTATATCTTGTCATAAATATGTGTTTCCTTAAAAAGAACTATTATCTTATGGTTATGGTTTCATTGTAGAAACATTTCAAAAACAGAATTGGCAAGTCAGCTAATGCAGTCGTCAGCACTTTTATTGTTAGAACTGACATTCAGATATGTTCAGTATACTAACTAGCTGACATATAGATACAAGTTAGATCAAATAACTCAATCAGTGTACAATATAAGTAGTATGCTTCTCTCGAGGGTAATACGGTCTGATGTACGCCTCTTTGGAGCAGTGTCGCCCGAGCCGGTAGCCGGTAGGCGAAGGGTGACACTGCTACAAAGAGGCGTACATCAGACCGTATTACCCGAGGGAGAAACATACAACGTATTTATCTTACCGCCATGTGAAATGTACAAAATATAATTTTATTTTATGTTCTAAGATGCCTAGCGGTTAGAACAATCGAAAAAAAAATACATTATCAGACAATAAAGGTATAGTTTTTTGATGACGTAACAATTGAATGACGTTATCCCGTCACTGCGCCATTCTAGTGTGCCCCCTCGTAATCGAACCATTTTACATTACGTCACAATGTAAGCGACGTCACGATGCATGTCAGTTGTCATCGCCTCGTACGGCCTCCTACAGTAAACTACACCGTTGCATCCAGTTTCTTGGTTTGCTGTTGCTTCACGCAGCTAACATCACTTGTGGAAACATTACGTTTATGTTTTACGACGGTTAAAATGTGTCATTTCGACACACAAGTTTTCAGCGACACGGTAACGTTCGTAATGTTTACATTCCCACAATGCAATTGTGGAATGTCGCTTGACTACTCAACTTCCTCTGGATGTACTGATCTAAACTTACGCTGGTAGTAGAAATGCAATGTTCATATTGCCCTATATTGTTTACGTTAATGACAGATGTAATTAAAATAATTCAGAGAAGATATTTAATCCGAACGTAAACCGTCATCAAACTGTTATCATTTGTCTTTTTCTGGTAACGTTCGTCTTAACGTAGGGGGGCAGACACATCAATAGAACAGCGCGCCAGTTAGCCCTGTGCGAGGATTCTTAATTTAGGTCACCGACACCGTCGTTTGTTTTCTGCCTTAAATTAATCGTAATTATCTTTAGAAAGTGTTAAATTTGGCATCTTAGAAAAGAAATACACTTCGCTCTACCACCATGTATAGTGTAATAAAACACACTTTCGCCCTGAACTATTATAACGTTAAAGCACTCGGACACACGTCCTCGTGCTTTAACTATAATAGTTCAGGGCAAAAGTGTGTTTTATTACACTATACATGGTGGTAGAGCGAAGTGTATTTCTGAATTACAGATCGCTACCGACTATATGACATGCAAACAAAATGGCGTCTGCCTCTCGACTGGATTTTTAACATCAGTGAAACATATTCTGACAAGCATAAAACTGCTATAAAAATTGTTAATTATGTTTAAGCTGAGTGTGCAAACCACTCAGTGTATAAAATAGGTTAAATAAAGCAGTGAAAGTCGGTAAAATAAATCTGTACAAGGTGAACACAAAAACAGCTGTTCGAACGGATTTCGAGCTCCGGGCACGGCATGCGTCATATTATGACGTCATACGATTGTAAGCACTTCAGCTTCTCGGCGGGGAGTTTGGCGGTTACCGTGGCAGCGGGTAATATTGTTATCCCCATGTCTGTCGGTGTCCCCTGCCCTGGGGCTATGTATAGATATATCTATTTCTATACGAAAATTTAAATCAGTAATTAAGATTGTTTGTGGTTGTATCCTCAAAAGGGGTTAAAGTATTGTATTATTGTCCTCATGAGAGGGTATGTATGAGAGGGTACATTTTAGTCACGATATGGGGGGAAATACTGCTGATGTGACTCTCCAACTTTTAACTCATTCGCTTAAATCGCCCAAAACGTTATTCTTTGAGAGCATTGTAAACTGCTAAAAGTAGCATATGTCGTTCATTCACTCACTCAAATACGATACCTCAAAGTTAGTGAGTGAGTGAGTGATTTAAAGCTTAAAGTGATCGATATCAGCAATTTAAAGTATTTCAGCCTTTCGTGACGTTGGAATCCATACACGTTTAAAAAAAACCTTAAAGAGATAAATTCTTGCTCACAAAGGACAATAAAGCAGTTACAAATTCACAGATTTCGATTGCATTGGGACTGAGGAGCAGATTACCTCAGTTCATATCATAGTTTCCAAACAACAGGTAATTTCAAGTACGGGTGGTTTCCATACTGTCTGATTGTTTCCATCAGGGCGTCCCTCAAGGCAGCATCCTGTCTGTCACACTTTTTAGCATCAACTTTAACAGCCTCACTAACGTCTTGAACAGTTGATGGGTCCCTTTTCGTGGATGATTTCAATAGTTCATGTCGTGGTAAGAATATGCACGCAATAGAAAGGCAGTTACAACTCTGCCTTAACAAAATCCAAAAATGGCCCAATCAAAATGATTGTAAGTTTTCAAAATCCAAAACAAATTGTATTCACTTTTGTCATAAATACAAACCACACAAGGATCCTAGCCAAGGAATACAACCAGTTGCGTTCCAAGTATAACATCCATAGATCCATTTTCAAAGACGGATCCAAGCATGATGGTCAAGTTGACAGTGCTACAGTCATTGGATCCAAGACTGTCTCCTCTAGAATAGTTCCATTTTCACTGCTGAGGCCAAAGCTATATAACAGCTTGGACCTATATTGAACAACAGAACCATTCCAAAAACTTCATCGTTTTTACAGATTCATTATCTTGCCTTCAAGCACTTAGCCGTTCCATGTGTCTCCACTAAACTTATATATTAATGGTTTACATATATATATACACACATATATATACATATATACATATATATATATATATATATATATATATATATATATATATATATATATATATATATATATATATATATATATATATATATATATATATATATATGTTTTCGTCAGATCAATGCGAAGAACAATGTAACATTTGACATAGACATAACTAGTTCACATATTCATGAGGAGTATTTTACCATTGCCAGGGATATTGATGGATTTGTCTTTTTGTTGCATATGTGTTTTAGTTTCTCATACAGCAAGGTTAAACGACATGAGGCTTTGCTGCTGTGTCCGTCTCCTCTTCACCGTCATGTCTGTCATTCCTGTCGTTGACGTCACATTGATAACTACAAGGAAGCCATATGGCGTCATGATGTGTGAAAACCTCTGTAACAAATACAACTGCGGCTCCTCTTTTGCATATGACGTGTCCACACTCACTTGTCATATCTATGACAACACAAAGACTCCAAGTGTGACCCGGAAGGCATCTTTTAATCGGAAAAGGGTAAATATTGACATGCCATTGTTAACATTTCCAAATACAATCAACACTTTATGCGTGCACGTGGTCAAGGTTACATCCCTTTTGTTTATACTCTTGTTAAGTAATATATATGTATTCAAAATAAAACTCATTTGAACTTAAAATGTGAATATATTCAGACTTGATCTCGTCACTATACGGCTGGAATAACCCAACTCAACCCTGTTAAGGAAATGTCATTTCAAAACCAATGTGGACTGTTTAACTAGGAAACAGCTCAATGTTGTTGAGTTGATTTGTTGAGGTGGGATTTACGTGTCATCGGCATTATTCCAGCCATAAAGCGACGAGATCAAGTTTGCACTCATAAATAATCCAAGTAGGAAGACCATCTTTTTTAAACAAGAGTCATCAGAAGATGACATATCCCCCCGGCCCCAACATCTTTGAAAGAACAAATCATCTGACAGTTACTTAAAGTCCAGCTTGATTTTAGACAAAGTGCAAATAGTTTCCATGGAAATCATGAAAAATACAAATGCCAAAAATATGTAAGAGCAAAAGGCACCACTTCAAGATCTGCCTCACATATCTGCCAAGTTTTGCTGAAAGATATTAAGAAGTTTTCGCGTTGTGCTCCGGAAACAAAACCTACCCCTCTCTTTTGAGACTAAGTTCAAATCGTTTCCATGGAAACCAATAAAAATACAAATGTCAAAAATCTGTACAGAGCGAAAGGGACCACTTAGGCATCTGGCTAACATATCTGCCAAGTTTTGTTAAAAGATATTATGAAGTTTTCGCATTGTGCTCCGGAAACGAAACCCATCCCTTCCTTTTGAGACTAAGTCCAAATCGTTTCCATGGAAACCGAGAAAAATAAAAATGCCACAAATCTGTAAATAGCAAAAGGGAACAACTTCAAGATCTGTCTCATATATCTGCCAAGTTCTGTTGAAAGATATTGAACGGTTTTCAAGTTGTGCTCCGAAACGAAACCCACCCCTCCTTTTTGAGACTAAGTCCGATTCGTTTCCATGGAAACCAAGAAAGTTATAAATCACAAAAATCGGTAAATAGCAAAAGG